TTAACTCCCTTGCATTTTCAGGTTGTAAATGTATAAGTGGGTATTGGTAAGGAGGTTCCCACAGGTCAGAGAAGCCATGGGGTGGAAGGTGAAATATATGCAGGGGGGTGCTGTCACGTTATGCCTGTGTGAAACTGGTTGCTGCTCCTTTCTTTCTTTTGATTGGACAGTGTACTCCATTCTATATCACTACAAGAGAGATTCCAGAAGAATTAAGCCTCAGTTGTCCCCACCACATTTCTGTTTGCTTTTGTTATTTCCTGCTTTCATTTTTCCCAGTTTCTTCTGTTACCTGAGATTACTTCCTAAATAAATCAACTGCGTGCAGCCAATAAGGTAAGACACCAATTTACAAACTCTTTGGGAAAATTAGAGACATTCAACAACTTTTTAATGAGGCCCGTATAACTTTGATACTAAAACCTGACAAGGACATTTTGAAAAAGGAAACTCATACCCAAGTCCCATTTATGAGTATATGAACTTATATGAATATATATATTCATGAATATATATACACACATGCTATAGTCACAAATATTTAGCAAATCGTATCTGACAATGTTATTAGATTATTTACAATCATTCATAAATATATCCATAATGTAAATATCTATGTATTTTGAATTATGAAAAAATGCTATGACATTTAGGCAAACAGTACTCTGAATAGAATTCTCTGTTGTGGTCCATTTGCTCATCTTACATCTTCTCTGTCTGCATCTCTGTATCTGTCCTGGGTTTGTGCATCACACAAGGCTTCTTACAGAAGCAGATGGTTCATGTTATTCTGTAATGTTGTCTTTTGGAAGACCTCAGCTCTGCTAACAGCACAGAGGATTGCACTGTAACATATAAAGTAGAAAATGTGTGCCTCTCTGAAATATACTATTAAAACATCTATTTTTTAGAAGCAGATTTGGAAAAAAAAAAAAAAAGAGAGAGAGAGAAGCTTCTAAATTAGCTTTTACCCAAACAAACTTCCAGCCATCAAAGTTATCACCATTTAAGTATTGTAAAAAAATATATAGATTTTGTATGTGTAGCACACAGTGTTGCATTTCTTTCTATGCCATGTGCTGCAAAGTGAAGCATGTTGAGCATGATGACGCATGGCACTATCATTTCCAGGAAAACATACTTTAATGACATTGAAGTGCATATAGTCTTATGGAAGCAAACTGTGCAGCTTTGGCCAAGAATGGACTGCAGCCCTTCTGTGCAAACAACGATGAGATCCTGAGGACAAACTTAAACTGCCAAAGAATATTACTTTTCAAGTCCCAAACCTACGTATGGTTCTTTGTTACATACTCATTAATGAAAGCCAAGGGGACCGGGGAAGGGAAATAGGAACATAAGTTATTGCTGCTTGCCCTTTCTTCACTAATTGGATTAGAGAGCATTACAAACTATGATTAAAAAGGTTATACTTGCTTCATTGCATCTTTTCTCTCAATATATATTTAGGAAAACCTAAGTTATTTTTAAATATTTTTAACTAATTGCAGTTTCATCCAAGTAATATTTTCTTGTTATATAGTGCCACAGGAATTCTGAATATTAATCACCTTTAAAGTGAAAGTTTCTTTTTTCATTGCTTCATTTTATTACTTGTTTTTATTTGTTTGTT